AAAAAATTCCCTAAAAAGTAATGTTTTTTAACCCCATTTTTGACGATTTTTTCGATTTTTACAATAATAATCATGATTCATTCGATTTGTAACTAGGCATATTTTGTAAAATTTAATTATAAACATTTTTTTCCTTTTCCATTTTCGCCTAAAATCAACTCTTGAAAAAATACATAATTAAATAGGAAGAAAAATACGACATTTTTCGAATTTTTTTAACATATGGTGCCGCCAAATGTTAAGCCTACGTTTTTTTTATGCGCATAGAAAAATGTTCATTTCTAGTGTTATTTGAAAACCAAAAAGCCAAAAATCTCCGTGGATATACAATTCACCCAAACCAAAACAGATACGCACCTAGTTTATGGCATAAATGAGCTGATTCTATGTTTAAACCTACTACCCTACTATTAATATAAGGACTCCTGTGACAGGACTGTTGAATGTTTTTTTTTAGAAAATTTGTAATCTATAAGTGTTGGGGTAGAACACTCGATTCAATTATTGAACTGATGGTGTGTGCACTAATATCTACATGCATCCAAAAAAGTTTTATGGCTTTTGAAATTACCGTGTTAAAGTAGTTATACCTTAATTTTGGAATTTAAAAATGAACGTAATACAGTTTTCGTAATGTAACACTGGGAAGAACATTTTGTTAGCAACATTTTTTTGACATTTTAAGTTTCATAAAAAATATTTTAATATTTCTAATCCATTTAGTTACAAATATTTTAACTGTGATTGGGTTGTATAATATTCATATCTCAAGTTTGACTTTAAATAGCATGGCGTTAGTTAAGGGTTACAGATAACCAAGCAAGAGAGTCTAATTTTTAGATATCAGGTGTTGGAATTTAAAGAAAATATCACATTTATTGGAATAACACTGAATACGTTTAACGCGGGTATTAGGTAATATAATTAATTAAACATAAAAAAGCACTGGACTATGGTACTCAAATTTGTCAATCAGTGGCAGATGTCGCTACGGATGTTGGAGTTTAGATAAATGTATGTACTTAGATAATTCTTAGGGTTATTTCTAAAAAATTATATGTTCCACAGACCAACCATATTCGAATAATTACATCTTCAATTTTAAAAACAGTTTACTCTAAAATTGTGCGATTCACAAAATCTTTTTAGCGAAAGGCTACAGTTCGCAAAATATTTAAAATTATGATTTTTGTGCTTGGGATAATTACATATTATTTGAAATGGCATTAAAAATAATTGTTTTTGCTAAACAAATAACTTTAAAGCTACTCCAGTTTTATTTAGCTAACCGATAAGTTTGTTTTAAATTAAAACATAATAATATTTTGAAATTTGTCTGGCTTTCGAGTTCACTGGAAGGCAGTTTCTGAAATAGGTATTCTTAGTTCTTAGTGACAGTGTCTAATAGTACCTCCACCACCGACTGATAGATTTCTATAACAGCTGGTAACAATTATTGTTCATCCTCAATTTCTTGAAAATGTTATGATTTTGTTGATAGCATAATCGAATATTATAGAAGTAACTCAAAAAAAGCACCTTAATTTTTTGAAATATCGGAAAGTGTCACTGAGATATTATTAGCATTACCATAAGATTGTAAATATGAAATTTTAATTGTTTTGTAAAAGAAATATCCTATTTCATATTACATAGAAAACTCTACACATTTATGATTCTATTAATGATATCAACTTAACAAATGATAATAAAAATCCATGTAATCCATATCAAGACTTTTAGGAGATCATAAAATTTTACTGAAATATTTTGTTGTTAATGGATTGTGGCTGTATTGTATTCAAAGTTATTTTAAATCATTAAATGCGGCTTGGTGTTATAACATTGGAAATTATACAGGGTAGCCCATCGAAAACGTACCGCAAGGCATTACAGGGTAGTAATGAACTTTTCGCCAAAATCCAAAAACAGGTAAAGTGTGCTTCTGAGGGGGACAACTATTGGCGCAAAAAGCATAGCAAAATCTTCAACCCCCTAAGTGGGGGTGCCATCCCCCAAATTTTTTTAAATGGGAATGGGGGTCAAGTGGGGGGTCATTAGAAAGGGCTTTTAATTCTCTATACATCGATTCTTACTTTTTGAAAATCGATCCATTATTTTAGAAAATATGCAGCTTTGAAAATACGAACAATATTTTTGACGAGAAATGCGAAAATCGATTTAATTTTACTTCAAAACTTACGGTATTAGCTTGGTAAATTCCTTCAAAAGAATTCGCTGTTTTTTTTTCTGATTTGCGAATTCTTTAGCCTGATTTTGGTGAGCAAAAAATTGTCCGCTTTTTGTTTCGTATTTAGATAGGCCACAAGAAGTTGCTAGATAACTGTCTTGTGACTTGTAGTTGAAGAGTACCAATACTGCCGAGTCTTTTAAATTGATTAATTATGGTGTACTCAATTCCAGAAAGAGTAGAAATTATTGAGCTTTTTTTCAAAAACAATGAATGCGGAAATCGGGTCGCCGAACTGTTCAACCAACGGCATCCTGAGAAACATGCGTCTGGAAAAATTGTTCGCGAATTGGTGGCCAAATTTCGCGAAACTGGCTCCGTTCATAACAAAAAGAGGCAGGTTGAAAATCCGGTACTAAATGAACCTACGGAAATAGCGGTATTGGGGCAAGTGGCAATGGATAGTACGCTGAGTACAATGCAATTGGCTACTGCGACAGGAGTGAGTCGTACAAGTGTCCAACGAATATTAAAAAAATACAAATTCCATCCTTATAAGATTCGGCTAGTGCAAGAGCTAAATGAAGACGATTTTGATCGTCGTTTGCAATTTTGCGAAATAATGACTGAACGAGCGATAAACGATAATTTCCTCTTTAATGTGTGTTTTTCGGACGAGTGTACGTTCTTCTTGAATGGTTTAGTGAATCGCCATAATTGTCGTTACTGGGCTGATACCAATCCAAGGATTTTCCATGAGACACACTCCCAACACCCCCAGAAGTTGAATGTATGGGCAGGTATTTTTGGAAATTCCATTGTAGGTCCTTTTTTCCTTCCTGGAAATTTGACAGGCGATATGTACTTGGATTTACTACAAAATGTCATCGACCCAGCTCTAACAAATATCATAGAGGACGACCCTGCTTACAATGAACACGAACTGATTTTCCAGCAAGACGGAGCTCCTCCACATTACTCGCTCAATGTGCGCAATTACCTAAATGAGACGTTTCCAGGACGCTGGATAGGACGAAGAGGTGCAATTGAGTGGCCCCCTCGGTCACCCGACTTAAATCCTTTAGATTTCTTTCTCTGGGGGCACATTAAAAGCAAAGTTTACAGCACTCCACCTGATACCTTGGAAGATCTGCGAGGACGAATCATTAATGTATGTCGCGAAGTAACACCGCAAGTGCTCCAGAATGTTCGACAACGGTTTGAAGACAACCTGTATCATTGTATGCAAGTTGGCGGACAACATTTTCAGCATTTACTTGACTAATACCGTAAGTTTTGAAGTAAAATTAAATCGATTTTCGCATTTCTCGTCAAAAATATTGTTCGTATTTTCAAAGCTGCATATTTTCTAAAATAATGAATCGATTTTCAAAAAGTAAGAATCGATGTATAGAGAATTAAAAGCCCTTTCTAATGACCCCCCACTTGACCCCCATTCCCATTTGAAAAAATTTAGGGGATAGCACCCCCACTTAGGGGGTTGAAGATTTTGGTATGCTTTTTGAGCCAAAAGTTGTCCTCCTCAGAAACAAATTTGACCTGTTTTTGGATTTTGCAGAAAAGTTCTTTACTACCCTGTAATGCCTTGTGGTACGTTCTCGATGGGCTACCCTATTTTCTTATTTATTTTATTTCTTTCATTTCTTAGAGGATGTTTGGATTTTTGGAATTCTAAGGTTTTAATACCAAGTAGGATTTTAGATTTATGAACCCATATGGTACATTCACAATGCAATAACAAAACAAGAAATGAACAATATTATGACCTCTCAGATGTCCCGACTTGATTTCAGTGGTTATCAGTTGCTAATTATTATTTTCTGGATTATTTACGGGAATCATGAGTAAGTCGAAGACATCTTACTGTTATGCAGTATAATGCATAATAATGATAATAATTATTGTTTTTGTGAAACAATTGAAACCTCACAATTACGAATTTGTTAGATTACCTAACAATATCTGTAAATAATCGATATTTCAATAAATTTAGATGGTATCATTTTTAAATTATTCAAAAAATTGACAGGATGTAAAATCAAGACAGTAATAAAATATTTTAAAGTTTGAGGACAAGGAATTTTGTAATCTATTTACAAATAAAAAAGTGTTTCCACCTCAGGACGTAATAGTAGGGACATTGTATGAGAAATATTTTAAATTCCAATTCTCTGCTGAATAAAAAATGAGTGAACCCATATCGTACTCAGTGATGTATTTCTGTCCATTCTGGAGTGATTGAAATTTTCACTTACTTAATATGAGTACGACAACAATTTTGAGTGCATAAGCATTCATTTTTTCCGCGAGCGGAGCGCGAGCGCCTTTACGAGTGGCTCATGAGCCGTTCAGCTGACAAGTCTATATGCGTCTTAAGTTATGCCAAAATAACCACGAATCTTGCCAAAGGCTTTAAATACACATTAGTAAAAGTGTTTTGCGAATATAGTTAGCAAATAGTAGAAGAAAGTGAATTTTAATTATTTTTTTAGACTGCTACGATTGAAGGTTTACCATCAATACAAAAATAATCTACATCCAAAATAAAGCTACTTACAACTTTATCAGTATACTTTAATAAGGTTGCAACTATTAAACTTTTTATCTTGTTATAATGTCGGCCTAATACTCAGCAAAAATGCCTAAACTTAAGTCCCCACCCTTCAAATAATCTAGTTCCAAAGTACTCTGCTTGATCACAACAGATTGTAGTTAAAGATGTACCCCAAATCTTGCGGCACCGCGAAACGGGAAAGCAAGTTAAACATATTTTTGCGCAGTTACTTACCTGGTTGTTGGGGGGAAGGTCGGCGCTAATGTTCAGAAGTTGGCCTTCGGTGTTGTAGAGCTTCAGAATGTCCCGAGGTCCTGCCTCTGCGGCCGATCTAAACAGGTCTGTAAACAAATTAGCCGTAATTTAGTACTTGTATCCCAGCCCTCTTTCATGCGGTGTGGAAATATTTGCGGAGATTAAAAGTTTTATGGGGGAGATCAGGGTGAGGAAGTGCGACATAATTCAATTCGTGTAATAAATTACCTAAGGTACATTGCCTTAATAAAAAAGGGCAGCCCTTCGGGGTGTATTATACTTTACTTAGCACACATTATTTAAGACTATTACGCTGGGGGAGAATTATATTCTGTCAAGTTCATTTTAACCTTAACGATAGTCTCAGAGATCATAATGTACCTACAGTACAGGTATGGGCAATAAAATGCTTATAACGCTTACTGTTCAGTGTAAATGTAGTATTTGCTGTTGAGAGTTTAGACTAATTCTGCTAATATGTTTCCAATATTTCTGTGCTTTTTTTGCAATATAGTATTATTGTATTAATAACTGTATCTTTAATTTATTTAATTGTCATAATGCTGTCTAATAAAACGAATAACATCGGCACATAAAAAAAACTCCAGTGCTTCTGATTTTGATGCAAATAATCGATAAAACACACTCTTAGTCAAAGTTTGGCTCCTAATATTTAGGGTTGGTGATTTTAAGTAATAATATCAGGCACACAAAAAGGCCATACTCAAAGATCTGACATCATTTCCGTGTTTTGATAAGCTGAAAGTGACACTGTAGTCAGAATTTATGCACGACCGTCCACTATCTTGCAAAATCTATATTTAGGGTAAAAATGTATTCTAAAATTATTCTACCATAATCCCAAATTGATTTTGTTCTACATAACATCTGATATATTATTTACGAGGTATTTTGACTATCTACAGGGTGTCCCGGAAATGGTGGGCAATCTCTCGGATATGGATAAATAATGAGAAAATAATGTCACAAGTTCATATAAAATTTTTTCCTCCGGGCTCACCCTGTAGAGTTATTAGCTCTTGAAGTTGAGAATTAAAAATGTTTTTTTTGCTGTAACTTTTGTATTTTTCAATAAATTTTGAAAATTTTTAGGATGGATCTATAATTTTTGAAGCTGCTTTGGATGATAATATGAAATCCTCGATAATAATTGTGGGGGCCCGGGGGCAAAGCACACCCCACCAAAAATTCTAGAAAAAAAAATTTTTGTTCCACTATACCCCAAATTTTCAATCATTTTATAAAAATTTATGGTATTTTACGTAAAAAAGGTATACTTGTTGAATATCCATAAAATATATATTTTTTGAGATAAACCCGTTTAATGAGGAAGGTACCATTTAATTTGAGACATTTTATTTAACAGAAACACAGATTTAATCGTAGTTGGCTTTTACATATCAGAATACAGGACAAATAATTTGCAATAGCAGTGTTTCAAATTATGAGAATTTGGACTTAACTAAACTAACTAAACGAAAAGTGCATGACAATCAGAATTTTGTAACTAATATAATTCATAATAAATTCTCAATCCACCTTCCACCTTCTTTTATACAAATACGAGCTCGTTTCACAGAAGACTGTTGCACTCTCCATAACATTTTAGGATTTTGTCGTATTTCATTTGCACAATAAAAAATCCTTTCTTCTAATTCTTCTCTAGTGGTTACAGGTGTGGAATAAACAAGATTTTTCAAGTGCCCCCAAAAGAAAAAGTCAAGTGGGTTCATATCTGGAGTTCGGGCAGGCCAATGAATAGGTCCACCGCGACCTATCCAGCGATTAGGATATACCTCGTTTAAATGGTCCCTTACTGCAGCACTAAAGTGAGGCGGCGCCCCATCGTGCATGAATATCAGTGCATTTCTGGTTTCAAGATCAACATCTTCTAACAGTTGTGGTAATTGATGCACAAGGAAATCTAGGTAACGTTGACCATTCAGTCTAGGGGGTAACACAAATGGACCCAATAAGTAAGGACCAATAATTCCACTCCAAACATTAACATAAAATTGTCTTTGGTGCCTAGTTTCAATAATAGCGTGTGGGTTCTCATCAGACCAATAATGTAAATTATGGGAGTTAATAACTCCATTCCTCCCAAAACTTGCTTCGTCAGTATACAGAATTAATCTCGTAAACATAGGATTTTGCTCATGTCTCTGAAGAAACCATTGAGAAAACTGTACTCTTGCACGAAAATCATCAGGATTAAGAGCATGCACTTTTTGGATATGGTAAGGGTGAAGAAGCTGTTCTCTAAGGATTCTTGCAACAGTGGTCTTTGGAACATTGGTAAAAGAAGATAATGACCTAATGCTAACTGTTGGATGAGCAGCAACTTCGTCCAGTATATTTTCCTCTACTTCAACTGTACGTGCTGTTCGCGGGGCACCCCTGTTTGCAGTAACAGGAGCAAACTGACCTAAAGACATTAAAATTTATTTAATATCCATTTTGTTTAATAATAGTAATCGTATTTTACCAGTTTCTCTTAATCTTTGATCAATACGTTCGAAAGTTTTGCGATCCGGAATCCTTCTATTAGGATAAGAATGCTGATAAAATCTTCTTGCTGCCGAAGCATTACAAAGAGCCCGCCCGTACATTAAATGCATATCAGCATATTCTTCATTGGAATACTCCATATTTTATAACAAATTATGAGTTATGAGATGAGTCTTAGATTTAAAACTACGTATTTGACAAGTTTGACAATTTAATTGCCTTTGGCATACTCTGACATGTCAAAGCCAACCACGATTAAATCTGTGTTTCTGTTAAATAAAATGTCTCAAATTAAATGGTACCTTCCTCTTTAAACGGGTTTATCTCAAAAAATATCTATTTTATGGATATTCAACAAGTATACCTTTTTTACGTAAAATACCATAAATTTTTATAAAAAGATGGTAAATTTGGAGTATAGTGGAACAAAAATTGTTTTTTCTAGAAATTTTGGTGGGGGAGGCTTTGCCCCCGGGCCCCCATAATTATTATCGAGGATTTCATATTATCATCCAAAGCAGCTTCAAAAATTATAGATCCAGCCAAAAAATTTTCAAAATTTATTGAAAAATACATAAGTTACAGCAAAAAACCATTTTTAATTCTCAACTTCAAGAGCTAATAACTCCACAGGGTGAGCCCGGAGGAAAAAATTTTATATGAACTTACATTATTTTCTCATTATCTATCCATATCCGAGTGATTGTCCACCATTTCCGGGACACCCTGTATATTTAGGGTGAAGAACGGGGCGAAACGGAAACAGAAATGGAAAAGCGATATCAAGGAAGATGGAACGTAAATATGTTAGCTGACTATTGCTGGAATCTGAAACGGGACGTAACGAAAACTAAAGACGAAGAAAAAGAAAAAAAGATCCTTCTCGCAGATCATTTAAAAACAAAAGAGTAAAATACTCTAGAAACAAAGATTAACCATAATCTCGTTAGTTCGAGCAAAGCGAAGACCCCTTCTTTGTCTAAATTGTGCGACTTTTGGGTCCTTTTCACCCTAAATATAGATTTTACAATATACTGGGGGGTCGTGTAAATTCAGACTTCGGTATATTTTTCAGCTCATGGGTGCCTGATATTCTATTAATTAAAATGGCCAGCTCTCTAAATATTAGAAGCCAAATTTTGACAAAGAGTGTTTTTTATTGATTACTAACATCAAAATGAGTAGCACTACCGGAGTCTACGTCTTTGCACTAGATTTTTTTTTGTGTGCCGGTGTAATTATTGGACCATCATCGTACTTTAACTACTTTATTTGGTTAAATTAGTTTAATAGTATTTTTATCCACGACTATTGTATAATGTACCCATTATACGTCTGTTTGCTCGACCTTATTAATACCCATTAATCACGGCAGTGATTAATGAGTCATTAATCACTTCTGTCAGATGCTTGCTTGATTTAGCTATAATATTATATTGTTCTGCTACAAACAGTCGGTTTTTTTAAATTTTATCGTGTAAACCACTAAATATTTTCAATTCAGTGCTGTACATATATAAAAAAAAATTAAAAAAGTGAATTTTCCTAGACCAGATTCGAACCCGGGACCAGCGGTTGGAAGGGAAGGAGCATCTACACTGAGCCATCAGCGACTTCGTTTGTGCGTGTCGTATATCTGTTGCTTAACATACCATGTTTGTCGAAACATTTCATAAATCTAAGTAGCTTTTAAAACAAAACAAATTTGACTCAAACCTGTCAACATTATTGTTTGTGTGCATAGATTTCTCAGTGTTTTGATATTTTGTGTTAAATTGTGTTAAAAAACGAACTAAAAACAAAAAAAACTTCAACAAAAATATTTAGTAGTCGTAGATAAAGTATAGTATTCTACTCCCGTATAATGGCTATTATCCACTCGGTGATTTAGGACACTCGCCTGCGGCTCGTGGCCGTAAACTTCACCTCGTGAATAATACCCATCATTATACGCTCGTTGAATAATATACTATTATTGTATAATACGGGGTGGTTTAATGAATGTTTAGAAACAGATAGATTAATTTAAATAATGGTAATTTGCTATAGCACCAGGTATCCCATTTTAAAGAAAACAGCTTAATATCTTAAAAACTATTTGCCGCAAAAACAATGTTTTAAATAAAAGACGTAGCATTCATCAGCAGAAAGAAATGTTGTTATATTATTTTTTTTCCTAGAAGACCTAGTAATTTTAACATTTTAAATGGTAATCCATATTTCTTAAAAAATACTCAGAAATCCTAGTAATTTTGACTTTTTAAACAGTAATATATACAGGGTCAGAAAGTTGGTGACTATTAGACGCCTTCATTATAGCCATCCTTCTCTATCGCATGTCTTACTTTATCGCTCTCACGTAACTTCAGATAGACCTATCGGTACTTTCTGATCCCGTAGGTATTATTTAAAAATTCTATTTAACGGATTTTCCTAACTTTTCATGTGCAGCTCATTTTATATATTTATTTAAATATGCTGTGTCTGAATGTCGCACTATCTTCTTCAATGCAAGTTTGAAGGTTTTGACGTAAGTACTAGATGGTTTAAAACA